GTCACGGGGTGGTCGTTCACGAGCCGGGTGATGACAGTGATCTTGACAAATCGTAATTCTCTAACTGTTTATCTATGTATAAAACTCTAGCCCATTAACACAACACGGTTTCGTCGATTATTTAGAAATTTTTATAACTAATCTTATTATTATATTTAATGTCTTTTTCAAAATAAAGTAAATTTTTCGTAATTATTAATGCGCGATATTTGTTATTCTTATTCTCATGTGAGAAATAAAACTACATAAAAGTAAATTTGAAAAAAATTATTATAACGATATTGGATAGCTACTTGATAAACACGAAATAAAAATAACACATTATGTTAATATTCTAATTTTCTATTCAACAATAAATATAAATAATATAACGTATATAAGACACGTTATATATGTAACAGTTATTATTGAGTAGAAAATTATAATATTGATTGAGATTACCGTTACTTTGGGTGCGGTTCACTTGACGCTACAAATGCTTCGAAGCTTTTGATTGACCAATCGGAAGAAAGAATTTTACTAATTGACCAATCAAAAAAATGTTTCAAAAGCGTTCGTAGCATTAAGTGGATCGTAGCCTTTGTAGAATAAAAATTTTTTTAGCAGGTGAAAATTTCATTAACGTTTTGAAAAATATATAAAATACAGCTCTTCGTGTTTCAGATGACGACGAGAGGAGCGGTGTGTCTGCTCCTGACAATCTTGATGTTAGGAGGTAAAGGTTCTTTGGGTAGCACAAGATACTTTGTGAAAATGCGAACGAATGCGTCCGACATGTTTAAAACGAAGGCGGATAATTTAAGGATTCTTCACGATCCAATAGCGATCACACCGAATCCTCTGTACAATAACGCGGGAAACGGACATCAAACCGATGAGAGAATGACCAAAGAGATATCGAGCGATCAGTATAATCGAAGAAATTCCTTCGTCGAATCTTCGACCTTCAATCCGGACGTACTCAATAAGTTCCTCGAGGATTACGCGAATAAAGTTAAGAGCACCACCGAGAGAAATTTCAAATACCCCTTCAGAATCATAAAACCACCCGCGGAACCTCTTATGCTTGAAATCGATACCGAAACGACGACACTTCACGAACAGGATGAGAAATTTGATCAAATCTCAAATGCTACTTCAACGGACGATGCGGTAAGAAACATATGTTTCAGATAATAAAAAATATTTTATTTTTTGAAAAAAAAAAATGAATAGAAAAGTAAATGAAAAATTAAGCATAAAGGTCATGTTTTAATAATTTTAAATTTTGCAGTACTATTTATTATGCAATTAGTGTTAGATAATAAAAAATATTGCTCTCTTACCTCAAAAGTTACAGTAAAAAACATGATTTTTTATTTATTACCATGAATTACTTAAGTAAACATTATCCTATTAATCATTAAAAGTAAAACTAACTAAACTTTATTAAGGATCGTTAAAATTGTCATAATTAAAAAACGATGATTTTTTATTAAAAAGTTACAAAACAAAAATAACATTTGATTATGCCAAAAGAATATATCTTTTTCACTGATATTATTGCACTTAAAAGTTAATAACTTTCTATCAAATATTGAAATATAATTTTTCTCCTTCTCTCTAGGAAACTTAATTTTTTAGTTGTGTTATTTTTTAAGTAAGGTAGTGATGTCAGCTTATGTTTTGTTATCTTTGCTGATGTAGTTAAGCGAAACGTTAAATGATACCTTGAAGAGAAACAAATACTACGGTACAAACACTTATGAAGATAGAAACGGCTGGGTGACATTGGAAGCAATTCCGTGGTCTAAGAGCAAAATTTCCAAGTGGCAAGCAAATCTCAGTACACAACGACCTTGGCCAGAGATAAAACCATGGGATAAACCGAGCATGAAACCATGGGCCAGCGACTATACCGTCAGACCCACTTATGAAAACAACAAACCGTGGTAAGTACCACAACCGTTAATTTTCCTTTCACTACGTGATCCTATGTACAATTTGAAAATGGGTTTTGTGGTTGTTATGATGAGAGATATTTATCATTAACATCGACACAACTTTCTTTCTTATAAGTGTGTTTATAAAGTCCAACAAGTGTACCTTTTACGATACTCTCTACATTAATATTAAGAAATGTAGCAAGAAAGTCTTGCAAAAATTTATTTATATATTTTTTATTTCAGCTATATTTCCTTCTTTATGTAATAAAACTAATTTATATAAAAAATATCAATAATTTTTTGTATTTTTCTTAACATTTTAGTAAAGATAATTTTTTAGTTACAAAAGAATCTTCAAGCTAAAAAAAATCGCATTACTTGCCTATTAATTGGATATCTATTATTTACTTTATATTATATACTTCTCGACGACATATCGGCTTTAGGCAAATGAGAAAACAAACGATCGTATCTCAGGTACGACAAGCCAAAACCCAACTGGCCAGAGAGTAACGAGAAACCGTGGCAGAAACCGATTTCACGTCCCTCTTACCACCCTGATGACGCGTCTAATCAGGCGCAGAAGTGGCCGCCGGAGAGACCGTCATGGAACAAGTACGATCCTCATCGTCCTAGTAGTGATATCATCACAGATGACAGACCGTCCAACTTTCCCAACACTTGGTCCAGACCGCAGAGCTCCTCATATCAGTTTATCGATAGATATTCGGATCAATCGGGGGATGGAAGTAATTGGCACGATTATCCATCCAAATACGAGCAGGACCGACCTCGGCCGACTTTAATCACCGAAAGGCCAAATTTCTCACATTATCAGTACATAAATAATCATCCACCGAGTCATCCGGCGAGTGGCGACGGTCAGTGGATCCTCCTGTCGACGAATCGAGGATATTCCAAGTCGAGGCAGAGATCAATCAAGTTTGACGCAATGAACTCAGCAGAATCATTCAAGAAGATCAATACGACAGGTCGCGAAAATGAAGAAGAAGAAGAAGAAGAGGAAGATCCTGTACCTGTGATGACATCGAAACGCCAGGTTAGGCTAAATGATCAAAGAGAGGTCAAGAGTCAATTTTAATTAAGCTAAAATATGTCCTCTCCCTTGTGTCGAGCAATTTTTTTTCACTTTAACAGATCTGTAACTTTATTCAACAATAATTATTCAAGCAAAATGATAAATCATGAAATTAAAATAACGTTAACTGAAACATTACTAATTTGAAAAGTGATTTTTAAAAATATTTTAAAACGCTATTTTGACATTATTTTGTTATCATATTGACTTATGTTCTGTCGTAACAAAATGTTGCGCGATATATTGTGATACTAATATCAAATATAAATTATCAGATGATTTAATTTCTCGAGGAGATAATTATTATTAGTAACAAATAGATTTATCGAAGAGAATATTATTGACGGCCGCTTTATGAAAGATCGTTTACCTAGGTCAGATTGACGGTGTTGCCATCGATCAACGGCACGAATACGACGACGTCCCACGGAGGTCTTCTAGAAGTCGAGAAGACATTCAAGAGCGTCGACCAGAGCCGCAAAGAATACGAGATGGAGAAGTTGACGACCATACCGAATATTCTGAACAAAAGACCAATCAGGCACACAACTCTGAACGCGCAACCGTCAAGTTCAGCCGTTTTAGCAGCCGTCGGAGCAGGTATGACTGTAACAAATTAACTTAAAATATATTTCAAGATATATCAACTGCTTATATCGGCTTATATCTGAGATATTTACGTTGTGAATTAATATAAAAATTTAAAAACGATGCTCTGATCTTACATTCTTTTGGTATTTATTAAGATAAAATGTTAAAGGTTGAATGTTTAATTTATGAAAAAATAAAAAATTTTTAATGTGTAATAATATGTGTATGTACATAATTTTAACGTTATATTGAAATTTCTAATTACATCGTATTGTAAAAGTGAATTATTTAATGTTATTTAATATATTATAGTATAAATTCGTTATTCACTTTAATAGAAAACGATGATGAAAGTACTCTTATATCCAATATGCGTAATATATATCTCTAGAATTTCAATTGATATTAATATGTTTGTTTAAATTAATTATCGTACCATTTGTGAAATGACAGGTATGCTGCCGGCGACAATGGCGATGATGATACCGATGATGCTAGGTCGTCGAAAGAGAGATCTGAGACTGATGAACAACGATCTCGAAGTAGACTTGCATAAGTTCGCGAGGGGGTATAACGTTCAACTAAAGAGACCAGTAGGACTGTAGGAATTAAGATAGCAGAATTCGTTCGAGGAACTCATTAGGATGACGAATGATACAGAACGCAACACACATGTGTGTGCAGAATTACGTTGAGGTATAGGACATAATATTGAGGATCCAGAAACGGAAATAGTTTTTTGTCGGAAATTAGTTTCATAATGATTACCCGTCTGTTTCATATCATTAAATTAAACAGAACGCTAATATATTTAACATGTATATATTTTCATACTTTTATGTATAGAATTTTTCAAGTCTATCAAAAATCATTTCAACTGCAAAGGTTGAATTGCAAAAAGATAAAGTTTTAATTTTTCAATCGCATATTGGATTCGAAGTCAAGTAATGCGTTTCACAAATTACTTTTCAAACATTGCGTTATTGTAATCAGACTATATACTATGTATTAATATCGAATACGTTTCTGAATAATCAATGTGTCCCTATTCGTACAGACGAGGGTATAAGTAAGATCGATTTAGAATCACTTGTTGCTGTTCTAGTAGTTACTGAGTAAAGAGTGAACTTAGGGGTAAAAAGTCCATCATAATCGTACTAAAAAAAAAAAACAATTTCCAAGCTCTATTTTGCTATTTCTTCATCATTTTGCATTGTTGCATTTAAATTGTCATTGACATAGTGCTTCGATTGTGTAAAAACAAACGTAATAGATTCCGACTTTTATCGCCATCCACATTAATATTTATTATCTATATTTTACGCTTGATCAAATATCGTCAGTGAATGTTAATTCTCGATTTTTTCCGTGAAGCGACAATCGCTTTGTTTGGAATAAATTAAATTACGTCGCCATAAATTCGTTTATAACTCAGTTTTAGTATTTCAGATTTCGATTTTTTTCACAGATCGACTCGAAGTATTGCGGCAACCTTCCGCTTTAAAGATCAATGTTACGTTTTCACACGAGAGAAACACAAACGTTTACGTTCTCCAATATTTATTTACATAGCGCATATCAGGGTGTTACATAGAGAGTTTGCATACTTATCTATATTTATTTATTTATTCGATCTACTCATTTTATTTATTCAGTTATATAGCGTACTTTACAATGTAATTAAGCTGCCCAATAATCGGCTCCGTCATACGTCTTCGCTCGCCCTCCAGCGAGAGGGTAAGAGAGCAGCGCGCATATACCAAAACAATTGTAGAGAGATTAAAAAGTGACTTTCTCAATAAAGATCCAGTCGATCCTGTGTGTGGAAGAGAGAGAGAGAAAGAGAGAAAAGTCTCTCGAAACCCCTCACCAATCCTGCGGCTATCTCGATCGTCCTGCTTTCGATAAATTATCCCTAGAATGCATCGTATCACATTGTATATCGCGTGTCGAAATGCATTCTCACGCATCAGATCCGAAGGCTAAAGTTAAAACACCTCGTAGTTTTAATCAAATAAAGTTTTTTTTTTTTTTAAGAACACGTTAAAGGCATTGTTGTCGATCCCTCGTGTCGAGAAAGAACCTGAAAGAAGATGCGTCCCCCCTCTGCAATGTTCACGGCGATACCTTGAAGAAGGAGACGCGTATTTGGTGATCATAACAGTAGTCCGTGTTCCCCTTCGTCGTTTTAGCTTTCTAAGTGAAAGGACGATCGCCTATCGTATCGCATCACATCGTTTACGGATGGACAAAAATGATTGCCCGTGAAATCGCGTCTCGAATCAACCGCGAAGAAGTCGGGGGGAAAACAGCTTCTTCGCGTTCCCCGACTACCGTTATTAGGACTACGGTACGGTCGTCGTCACGTCGTCCGTCGCCGTTATCCACCGCGTATCCACCGTATTGCGCCGTGAAATTAGAAAATGTGTATCGCCACACGACTCGAGAACTTCTATCGCTGCTCCTCCGAGTTGTTCTCTTCCCTCTCATTCTTCGCCGTTGATTCTCTTCTGCACGTGACCTAGATACCGCGCGAAACCCTCGCTGGCGTGCTTAAGAATTGTCAGACCCAGTCTGAACTTGATTTCGGCCACCTTCTTTACAAAATTTATGAGACTAAAACCCTCTGAGGGCTTTTTCGTGGTCGAGCTGTCGAACCATTCGATTGTTTCAGGATCTTTCGAGCCCGCGGGATGTGTGGTATCCTTATCAGAAGGCTTCTCTGAAGAGACGCTGGTACCACCGTCATCCATTTTTCCGACGGTCGTGGAAGTTGCAGGTATCTCCGTTATGTCCTCCGTGTGTGTAGTTTTCGTGGTGGACTCTTTTGCGCGCGTATTAGCTTCTTCCTGTTGCTTCCTCCGCTGTCCCTCAAGATCCTCCACTTCATTTTCGCTGCTACCCTTCGTCTTATGTGGCACTCCGCCACCCGGCAGAGCCGAATCAATGATATCCAGAATCTCGTTGCTCAGATCTTCCTCCTTCTCTGCCTCTTCGCGTTCTTCTTCCAGTTCGCGTTTCGTCGGTATTATCTGAATTACTGATTCCCTCTTTGATCTTGAGTGTCGGCCTTGGTTACCCTTGTTAAGGGCAGCGCGTTTAACTTTAAGGGATCGCGGCCCATGCTCGACGGCCACTGCTGTTGGCGTTATTTCGATTTCTTCATATCCGTCATCCGCTCGGATAGTTGATGCTCCCAGATGGCCATAACTGTGCAAGCCGGCCGCGTTCGGGAAATCGAAGTTCTGCGTTACTTCTCGCTCGAATTGCGTCTGTCCGACCTCCGTCGACATGTAACCTTTCTTGCTGTCCACCGGCAAGTTCGCTGTTTTCACGTCAAATGGATACTCCTTAGGTACGTTGCCAACCACGAATTGCCGATTTGCCGCTGAACTCGCACCGACTTCCGCCGCGAAATCTGGACGTTTGCGATCGTAATAAACTGGAGTAGTCTGTGTTTCGGGATATTGGAAATCCGTGTTTCGATATTTCACCGCCGGTTGAGTGTTCTCTACGGTTTTATAAACGGGAGAAGTAGATATCGACGGATATCTCGTCTCGATCTTCTTCGTTTGAGTGTCATACGCACCATCATAATGCTGATAATGATAATAGTTATTGTTGTAGTTATCTTTCGTTCCCGGATACTTATTCTCATACCCTGGAACATTCGTCATACCCTGGAACACCTTAGATAACATCTCCTCCTCGCTCTGCCCGTAGTTACCGCCATATTCATCCATATTGTACTTGTAATTCGGTTCCACGTCGTAGTTCCTTCGGGTGATCGTACCGCCGAAAGGATACAGGAAATACGAAGCAAGACCGAGACCCAGACCTACCAGCGACATGACGCCGAAACTGGGCATCACTTCGCGACTGAGGAAGTTGTAGATCTGAGTGCTAATCGCCTTCTGCGGTTGTTTCTTCTTAGTCTTCGTCGTGTTCGCTCCGACTTTTGTTTCTGGCGCGATCTTCGATTCCTGAACCGCGTTATCCGCGATGGTGGAATCAGTAACACTGTCAATGGTTTCTATTAAAACAGGTATCATTGTCGAGCTTGGCGCCGAGGTCGTAGGCTTGCGCCTTCGAGTCTTGTTCTTCTTCCTCTTCGAGTTATGCCTCGGCCGCTTCGTCGTGGTCGACGCTGCCGTGCTTGTTGATATCGCATCCGTTTCTGTTTTTGTTTCTACATTGATTTTCGTCAATTCAGGATTAAAGTCAAATTTTAGATCTATTCTGGAATCATTAAGATCATCCGTATCCTTCATCACGATCTCGTCCATCTTATCGATCTTCTCAATTGTCAAAATTGGCGCGTTTACTTTGATCGGCTCTATCTCGATCTGTGTGGTCTCATCTATAGGCTTCTTTAGCTGCACCCTTAGCACGTTATTTCCCTTCGTGTTGACTGGCTTTGATCTCACCGGTACTTCTACGAGATCTACAGTCGACAAATTCGACTTGAACGTAGTACTGGTGCTAAGGGTAGTCGCGGTGGTAGCGGGAAGTAAAGTAATCGGAGTCTTCTGAGTGTCCATGAGTACCGACGCTTTTATCTTTGTAACGAACATTGGCTTCTCAGTATTTTCCGCCTTGTTTTGTGGAGTTGCGATGATCGGGACCGGTTTGAAGGTCACCTTCTCGATTTTACCAGTCGATGCGGAGGTCTCATTCTTTACCGTTTCAGGTTTGACCGTGGGTTTTCTCGTTGGTTTTGGTCTCATCGGTTTCGTCGTCGTCGGTTTCGTTGTTGCTGGTTTAGAATGCAAAGTTGTTCTCGGCGTGGTAATTTTCGGCTTAGAAGTAGTTCGCGGCGGTTGACTCTTCTTTGTCGTAAGAACAGTCGTTAACGTAGCTGTTCCATCGCTCGTCGTCGAAGTGCTTGTTGTTGTGGTGCGAATTACCTTCAAAGTTGTGCTCGATAAAGTTTCCGTCTTTTCTGAATTCTGAGTAACTTTTTCCGGTTTTGAAGTAGTCGCGATTTTCTTCGTTGTGGTTGTAGTCGGCTTCTTTGTTATCACAGTTACTTTCTCGGTGGTTATAACAGGAGTCAACTGTGGCGTGGTCTTCTCCGTGATCTTTTCTGGTTGCGGAATCGTTTCTTTCTCGATCGACGAACTTGGTCTTACTGTAAGTCGTACCTCTGTCTGGAATGGCTGCTGTGTCTTCGATTTCTCGGTTTCTACGCTCTTTACGGTTGTAGATGGCGGATTCAGCAGGATCCAAGTGGAGATACCGCCAGTAGTCGTCGGATGATTTTTGTAAGCGGTAATCAGCCTCGTTGTGCTCATCTCTCGTTCAAGCTCCTCCTCCGTCATCGCCATCGCTTGGCCCGGATGGCCACTCTCGAAATAACTGAATTTGGAATTAATTGGCCTACCGAAATGCATGGGCTCCAAATTAATTTCCGAACTAACATCTCTCATCAACAAAGGGATACTGTTCTCCGAAGATTTCGGCGTAGTCGCAATATTGTGTTCAGCCTTGATGAGTTCCTTGTTATTCACATTTACCATGTCCTGCGGATTTGTAACGTTAAGGAGTTGAGTGGCGACGGTTCTTAGAGATTGGTCCATATATTGTAGATCCTTCAAATCACGATGGGTGTCATTCACTTGCCCGCTGAAATAAAATTTAATCATTAGGTTTATTGAGGAATTATAAAATATAGTTTCGCCGAGTATTACTAATTTTTGTGTCATCGTCACGTTAACATCATACTTTATATATAAAGGAAAAGTAGATCATATCATATTGTGATAAAAATTGTATGATAATATTTCGTTTTGTTCTGAATCATGATTTTTATTAATATTCATAAAAAGATAAGCTACACATATACACTCATTCTCTCTTTCTCTCTCTCTCTCATTTCTTATGAATAATTTTTATGAATATATATATAGCCGGATGAATTAAATAATTAGCAAAAATGCCTAACTACGTTATTAAATTTCTTACCTTTTCTGTGCAATAAGTAAGGCTTGATTTGTACAGATTAACACCTTGTCAAACGCCATGAGTACAATTAATTGTAAATTAAGAAAACAATGAAGTACAATGGAGCAATATATATTGGAAAAATAAATTATATCTACAATGTTTTAGAGTAAAATGAAAAGATTAATAAATTGAAATTCTTATATGTAACCCGATCAATTATAAACTTTAGTTTTTTCTTATGAAAGAGGTTTGGAAGCAATAATTTTTAATTAAATTATTTTAATTAGTAGTAATCGAAAATAGCGAAATAAACGATTTTCGCCAATCTAATTTTAGAAGAATAAATAATAGAGGAAGAAATAGATAATGTAAAACTACAATCTTCGGTTTCCACAAAAATTTTTTTTATATTTGATACGTTTAAGAAATTAAAGTAAGTAAACAAAATATAACCGTAAATATTCAACATTTTAGCACAATTTAAAATTACAAAAAGATTCTTTCATTTATGATAAATTTTGTTATTTTTCAACGACAATAATAAAATAGGATTTAAAGGGATCATATAGGTATAAGGATAGGATTGCATATTTTTAAATACAACATACAAACAGGCGAAAGAAATTATATAATCGCCCAATGAGAAAAGTATTAATCTTTGTTTGGTATATTTTATTAACATTACATATTCATTGGCACAAATACTGTTAATGCCCTGAAATGCTGTAAAATTTATAATTAAATTAAATTATCAATACAATAAAACACGCTAAATTCTTTGCAGTTTTATGTTGAATTGAACTATTGAATAACGTTTTACGATAATCTATCGCGGTATATAATTATAATCACCGAACTCTATGTTATTGGAATCTCAATAAATTTCTCTGAATAAATAATAAATATTATTTGATTAATGCTGAATTCTCCAATTAAATGAAATTATAAACGAAATACTTGATCTTTACTTATTTACGAGAAATTTAATCCGCAAAGAAATAATATTAAATATTGTACTCAGAGCATCTTTTTTAAATACTATATAACAAATTTTTATAAACATATGATACGATAAAAAAAATTACGCAATATCTCATTATTCTATATATGATATTATAACGATAAATAGTAATGTTAATTAATAATTATTAATAGTAACGTTATAAAATATTGAGTCAATCATTGCACTGATTATCGCCCAGTTCATGTAATTATGTGATTATGTAAATATAGCGAGTATCTTCTTACTATGCTACATTTGGCGTAAGAATAAAAAATATGTCATCTATTTAATGTTATATAAAAATATATTGTTTGCGAGTATAATTACCTTAATTATTTTACATAAGTTATATTTATAAAGGACGGATGCGAAAACTATTAATTATTATATTTATTTAATTATGATTTTATCCACTCAGTTAAGTAAACCTCATTCTTAATGAATGAAAATACTATACAATTACCTGCGTTATCATTATACGTGCTACATTAGTGTATCCACATAATGTTTTAAAAAAAACAAACATAATCATCTAGCTACCTTCTCTCTTTGCTTTATTACTAACCACGTATCATTTTCAATCTGCTATCAAACGATGCAAAAGATCACTACGGTATATCTTGTAATTTCTATCCAATTTAAGTAAAAGTAATTCTAATAGCGGGAGCGTGTACTTGCTTCATACAAGCTTTATACTGTGGCTTCCCTACTTATCTGAAGATCACTAAGCGTCACAAGATCAATTGATGTACGATTCATCTTCTGCGCTTCCTACGTTTACTCTTCCATTCGTTCAGACGATCGTACTTGTGTACGGCTTGTCTGACGAAATCCTCAAGATTCGGTGCAAAATCAACCGTCTTGTCAGCGGAACGTCCGAAATCGAAGACACTCGGTAGTGCCCATGGGAAGATGAACGCGGCTATGCCAAGTACACCAGCCGCCATTGCGACAAACGGTGCCGAGGTGAGGCTGAAAACACCATAACCCAACGGATTTAAGAAAGAAAAATATGTGAAGGCCTTAGCCATGTACTGCAATACGTCGCTTGGCGACATATCAAAATCAAAATCAAAGTCATCATCATCGTCGTCATCGGGTGACGCTCCTGAAGAGCCTGAAGCTGGCGACAAGGATGAACCAGCACTGCTCGATAAATCGGGTTTAGTTACGCTACCAAGCTGACTGGGAAGATTCGGCAACGCTGACAGTTGCAAAGTACCCGAACCAAAACCGCTATTAGATTGACCGGTCACCGGACCGGGTTTGACTAAATACACCGGCAGTTCTTGAGCGACGGGTACAGATGGATTTTCGGAACCGAGTGTTCCGGCAACAGATGGCCCGCTCGCGGAAGCGCCAGCAGCTGGCGGATTGATCGCGGAACTTGACGCGTCATTGCCGGGACCGTCGACGGATGATCCGGCAGGGCTCGGCGTCTCTTCCGCATTCGCTAATGACAGGCTGATCTGAGTACCCTGGGACACCTCGACTGTGTGGAGGCTATCGATGGTCGACAATCCCAAGGATTGAGCGGGATCTAGAATTTCATTGGGATCTTTCGGAAAATCGTAATAGTCATGTTGGCCTGGTTGTGACGTTTCGAGCAAGCTGGAATCATATGTTCCGGTCGATGCGTAACTACCCACAGAATCCACATAGGAGAGATCGGTAGGCACATTAGAATATTTCTCGCTCTCATCTGCGGTACCGTAACTCTGCGTCGCTAATGAGGTCTCATGATCATCCGCAATCGCCGGCGTGCTGCTCGGCTTAAACACATTCGTATTCAAGATATGCGAGTTGACGATTATATTCAGATCGGTGCATCCTTCCTTGCTCTGAAGCGTATTGTTCACTCGAGTATAAGTGTTTATCATAATCGTCGGACAATTCGTATTGTAAGTCGACGAAGGGGAAGTATCGGTCTCCTGCTTGGAAATATTTTTGTTCTCGTCTTTCTGAGAAGTGGACATTATATGAACGTTGGGTCTCTGCGCTGATGGTCCCAAGGACTCTGAGGACGATTCTGAAGAAGCCACTTGATTTGCAGCTGCCTCGTCTGTTTCCGGTGCTTTCAATTCAGTCACGGTCACATTCGGTTTCTTCAGACCGTCGTTCAGGATGTGAACCACCGTATTCTGCGTCACGTGGGTCGTAGGATTATAAACGGTCTTGTTCTGCAGCGACGTCCCATCAGACCAAGAGGAAGGAATCGAAGGAACGAAAGGATTCGAAGAACCCGTTTCGTATTGAAGTGAACTTGGATCTGACAATCGGATTGGATAGTTTGAGTCTATTGTATCAAGATTCTGACTTGGCGGTGCATCTTGAAGAACGATGGTCTCATAATTGTCGTCGTGGGTGTTTAACGGACGATTGGGTTCCAAGTTTTCATAAACTGACTCGAAATCCGGCTGGATCGGTTTATCATCATTGTAATCGAAATACTGCGTATTGTTTGGAACGATTTCCGGTATCTTTAACCAATGGATGATCTTTTTTACACTGGAATCGAGGATTGGGTCCGTATGATCAAAATAATTATTTGACGATAGTATCGGTGTTTCTTCAGCACTGGAAAGACTCGATTCATGACTGGATTCCTCCTCCAGAGATGAAGTATATTTCTCATAATTGTATAAATCTTCCATGTTCTGAAGTGCCTCGTTCGGCCAGTTCTTCAAATATTGTACGGTTGTATCGTTGTACTTGTATCCCGTTTTATTTCCACTACCAACTTTCTGACTCGGCGATTCCTGAACGGACAAAGAATGATTACTCTTCATCGGTTTGGACATCACGTGATTGTTCACGATAACGGGCTTCTTCGCACCTGTCCGCGTAAAGTACTTTGTTGGCTTTCTCAGTTGAATGCCAGTAGAAATATCGTTACCATTCTTCACCTCCATATTCAACGCGACGTTGCTGGCATTTCGCCAATTCGAAGTCGAGTACGGATACCGGAGCTTTACGAAATTCCTATGGGATGTAGTTGCGCTCCTGCGGCGAAACGCAGGGGATTGTCCAACAACTTCAGATTTTGAATTCGAGATCAAGGCTGCCACCGCGCCGTGAGCCGATGTTTCTGAATTATTCAAGTCACCGTGTTGATTGCCGCTCATGGGGCGAGAAGAATTAGTGACGACACTCGGCTTCGAATTTCCATACGAAATCACGATCGAGTTTGTAATTTTACGAATCGAATTACGATTCTTATGAATAGAACGAGGAGAAGCATCTGCCTGAGAATCGCTCGGAACATTTGTCCTCGCTGTTTCTAAAGAAAATCTATTTACACCCTGCTTCCAACGTGACATCTCGCCTTCAATATCCTTATTCGCAAATGAATCAAACCTAACTGAACTGGACTGCCGACGATTTTCTACTGCGACAGAGATATCGTCATTTGTCCTCTCGAAACCAGATGCATGAGTTGCTAAGAAATCATTTCCTGCTGAGTATGAGTATTTCGTTTGCGCGACTACTGGTTCAAGATTTTCATTTGAAATCACATCGGATTTCGATCTCTCTAAATTTCCAGCATTCGTCTTACCGGAATAATCCATTTGACCGACTTTTAAATCGGGGCTAAATTTCGTCCAATCTATTCGTTCATTCTGAATTATTTTAGAATCGCCGGAGGAAGCGTGAAACGAAGGTTTATTTACTTCGTTCGAGTTTTGAACAGTAGCGATTTTCGCGATATCACCTAGCACATCCGTCCTTGAAAAATATGGTGGAGCATTTATCGCTTTAAATTTAGGCATCGTCCAGATGTCATCGATCTTGGAACGACGAACGCTAAGCGATCGCGCCGCCCCGAAATTGCTGGCGCGTGAATTGACTGCGCCGTGCTCACGCGACGAATCGGCATTATCGCGGAAATGTGTGATATACTTTCTATTACTTCCGGAAGTCCCCGTATACCTGCTATCGTCTCGAACAATGTCGTGTGACTTGCTCGAGACTTGGATGCTTCTCCATCCCGCGTCGTTCCTTTCTATCGTCTTCGCTTGCGAATCTGCACCTGAAAGATGAAAAAAAAGATAAGAATTTTTATTTTCAATTTTAGAGAGGAATTCTAATGACTGAAACCCCCCGACTATCGACACACGCAACGTCGATAAAACTTATGATAATGCACTAATAATAGCGAAACACATGGAATTGCAGACCCGTTAAAACGCGAGGATTTCTTAATGCCTTAAATCCTACCAAGTTAAACACTTCCGTCTTAGGAAATTCGATTTTGCAAGAAAAACGCGGGTGGTAACGTTGATGCACGAGAAGCAGTGGCGTAATTACGGCTTTACAAAGAAGACAAGTTGTTATCCGACACGCTATAACAATTGATGCTATTGAGTAATTACATGCGCGATTGATGCTCTCATATGCGTTTTCTCCATAATTGGAACATTGAACGCAAATTCAATTCTTTTAAAGAAGGAATGAATAATGCGTTACTAAGAGAAAGAGAAAAATACGGTTAAAAATTGTACGTATAAATAAAAATACATAGATCTGGCAGTAAAACGCAAATGCACATATCTGATTACTAACTAATCACTATTTGAACATTTTCTAGCTAATTAAGATACATTACGAGATAACAGATCTGCAATGAAATAAGCACGGTTCATTGGCCATGAATATTGCACCGCGACGAAACTATCAATTTTGCGTTTAGAAAACACTGTTTCCTGCTGCCAGCTCGTCACGTTGCTCGGTTTTATTGCTAAATGAGCGTTTTATTGTACCGATCCAGTCACGTCGTAATTCGTGAAATGTATATATTATCATCGTATTATTTTTTGTAAAAACACCTACCATTGTGCGGTCTGGTGTCACCCGATCCTGCTACCAACAGGATCACCACGATCTTTAGCAGCTGCATCCGCATTTTTGCACTGAAAGAAAAATTTAAAAAAGTTAAATAAAATCTAAAAGATGTAAGACTATATAAAAAAATTTTGTTTAACTCATTTACAAATTCTAGGACAGTATTATGGAGAACGATGCGCGACGAATTGTAAAAAGACAGAGGACGATCCCGCGAATCGAGATGCGCGAGGCTAGAGGCTGTCCTCGACACGATGACCTACACTCAAACGCTGAACCTGATCTTGAGCAACAAAATCTAGATCTCGGATAGGTAGATCTCTCATTGCACTATGTCATCGAGAACAAGTTAGCAGGAAAAGAACATCGGTCGCAAAAAACAATCTTACGTGATCACGAAAGACTCGATTGCACGGCTCTTATGAGGAAAGAAAGGTGGTCGGAAACGGTGGAGCAAACGCGCGGAAGTCGAAGGTTTTAATTTTACGACCGACGAAAGATGCGACGCTTGCGTTAATATTCATGAAGACGGGTACGCACCAGCTATAATATATTGCAAGGATTTGTATGCATCGTGTACTTATGTTTCGACAGTTATTTACAATAATCTGATACAATATGTTTTATAAAATGCGAATAAATGTAACAACCAAATGTTATTTTTCAATTTACCATAAACTTATATTTAACGAATATAGAAATATAATAATTTAATTTGCTTCTTTTTCATGAATTTAATTTTTACCATTTTAAATAAAATTGTAAATATATAACGATGTAATAAACATTAAATTAAATTTGTACATAAACGTAAGATCTTGGATATATTAAATTTAAATATTAAACAATTAAAATCAATAAATGATAGAGATAGATATCTAAAGTATTCTAGGCTACATTTAAAAGTGTCCTCTCCAAGGAAAGCTTTACGCGATATATAATGTACGTATACTATATATTTTGAGTAAAATTTTCCTCAAAGTGAATGCTTTGGAATATAGTCTTATAGTAATAATTTGTGTTCGTGTTTATTTTATAAATTGAAATTTATACTTTTATATAAATTTCCAATTTTTGAGATGGATGTTGGTCTTTATTCAAAAATTAAGAATTTTACAACTTATACATTGGACGCAAAAGTCAAAAATCTCAAAATGTATGCAATCGTTAATGATTACCAATGACGCAATTGCCGAGACAGTTGCGACTCCAGGGAGGGTTTACGAAGGTTACACGGCACGAATTTCTGATCATCGATTTGTCAACTAAGGTTTCAATTGAAAGCATCGTTCGTATTCGATGCCCATTTCCGATTGGAACAATCGTCTATGCACGCGGAATGCGAACAATAACATTACCATTGACGTAAGTTAAGCACTTATCTGCGCAATAAAATTCGTAAAATTTGATACTATGACATTTGCAACGGAGATAAGTTTTTTTTTATTTAAAATCGAGTAAAAACCGTCATAATCATCTCTGAATAAGAATCGTAATAGACAGATATATATAATATATAAATATAAATCAAATTTTAAAACAATACATTGTGCAGATAATATTTTAAATATTGTGTATAAAGTGCGGTGGCGACGAAATGCCGAAGCAGGAGGAAACGGACTGATGATAACCCAATAGAACATTCTTCCTCCTGCGTTGAAATCTCCATCGAAGATTTCAACGAAGGCTCTTAGCCTTGACCTGAAGTAGTCGATGCGCCGTAAACCCTACATTAACATCTCCCGTGGATGGAATTCTCTAACGATCATGGGTGATTGTCACGTGGATACTTTTTTACCGTTGCATTTTTTCCATTTTCATATTCGTGTCCGCTAACGGTATTAAACGGGCGTCGATCTTCTTCGGGTATCCACCGTATGTGACGTTGCATCATACTATACATCTCAGAGAATTGTAAGCAGTCAAAGTGTGCGAGAAGTCCGACAAGACATTATTCCATCGGTAGAATAGCCGTAGAATCCGATGCGCAAATTCTACGAGCGAGGTACGTACCGTTAACCATTTGAATGTTTCTTCATGAACCAGAAAACCGCAGGCAATTTTATTGAGCCACAAACAATGTTGTGAAAAGATTTATAACTCGAAAGGGATGTGCTGGATCAGTAATATAATATGAAGCAATACTTTTAATTGCCTGGTTAAGTATAAACATTAGAATTTTAAGCATGTCGCAAGTTAGATTCAATTTTCAAATACCATAAACTTTTCAAAGTTAAAACTATATTGTTAAAAATTATTAATAAAAGCAAAATGTAACGAAAATTATTATTTGCTACGCTTATAATATATAACTCCAATTTAATATAAATAATTAAAGCATTTGTATTTTACTATAATTAAAGCGTTTATGTGATAATACAAAAATTGAATAAGAATTTCAATTGAATATAATTATTTTAATAAAGTCGACAATTTTCTAATGAATAGAACCGTTGTACGCAACAATAATTGTTACTATACATGCTCTTTTTATTTACGCACTGACTATTTTCGGTGGCAAGCCTGATAGCAATTTTCTATAACGTTCTAGCGTAAATAGACGCAAATGCATTTACGAGGAACTATTCTCCCCCTCTCCATATCTAATTCAAATCATTTGATAACGAGTAAAGTTCAATATATAGACATAATAAATCAACATATTAATTAATAATGATAAAATTATTAAAAGATTGACAGATTAATTGTAATAAATAAAGGAAAAACGATTCAATATTTTGTAAATTTATCAATTGCATCAACAAAATATTACTTGCTTAAAATCCAATAGATGTCCGCAATTCTTACACATGTTGACAGTGATTGAAAATTTAAGTAAAAAATAGACGGAAATAGCTCGTATCGATCTCTAAGCTGACTACCTGATAGAGGGAATCGCTGAAGATTATTTGTATAATATTTCCAAGATCGCAAGAACGATATCCCCGTTTCCGGAACGTTGAACGTCAGCGGAAAAGATCGCGGGCAATGAAGACACGCTATTTAACAAACAGATTTGCGCTCTAACGAGCGCCGAACATCCATTGCCGCTAGAATTAGATCATAGCGGATAAGAAACGAAACGACAAGGCATGAAGAATGGCAGATGATCGGCCGACAGCGAGTCTTTCGATCATCCAGGTCAGCAAATCGCATTAATTTCATTGCGATCAGATTAGATTTTACTCAAACGAGTAGATAAGCAATTGTATTATGAAAATCGGATATGCCTCCATACCGTGACTGTTTCGCGTAATAAACGTTTTTCACGCAAAAGTGCCGATCTTTAACTTAATCTATATTAATAACTATAGTATTTGTTATTTCACTATCGCAAAACGTGCCACATTAATTTTTTATCCGTGTGAAACTTTTATTATAAAGAACAGTTTCAGTAAAGCGCGTTTGAAAAACTAAATAATTTAATGACACAGAGAAACAGAGACTGATAGACAGATAGACAAAGAGAGAGAGAGAGAGAGAGAGAGAGAGAGAGAGACACAACAAACAAAAAATGAAAGCATTCACATAACAGAAACGTAACAGCTATTTTTATTTTCTTTTGTATAATATATATGAGTCTCGATCTTTAGCCGTGGAATACTAATAATTATTAAAATTTCTTTTCAAGTGACAGAATATCTTATGCAGAATGCCACGTATTTTCTATTCCCTCCCTATTACAGAAAAGTTTAAGTGAGTTTGCATTAACAAAAATATTCCTTTATTGATATTTTACAAATAAAGAAAAGATAAAAAATTTAAAGAACTAATTAAACTTTACAAATGTAAATATCTAAACGAACATATTAATTTAATTATTTAAATTTATAATTTTAATGCTAAAGAGATTTTAAAGGTTCGAAACTTTATATATATATAACTTCATATTTATTAATTCCTGCCATCTTCAACAATCAATGCTTGATTCGATAAAAATAGGCCACCTAGCATATTAAAATAATCTGTCCATTCATTCTCAAATCTCTTTTGGAGCGTGGCGCATAAATTCCAAAAGTGCTCTTATTACCTTTAATCATCTAATGAGACAATGTAGTAAGACAACCGTGCAACACGATTCAACAAGTGTAACGTAACGTAATGATGCAAAAAAAGAGAAACAGGAAGAAGAGCAGCTCTTCACGAGGAAGTGACTGTAAGTTGTAGCGCAATGAAATAGATACAAGTGTAATTTATCAGTGGTATCATATCTCGAACCTGGACCGTGTGATGCTTCTGTTCGTTTTTGTATTCCAACGTCTCATAATATCTTTCATTTACATTTCTCGACGGGATTTCTTCGCGCATTTAATAAAATTCATTACCGTTATATAATTATGAATGCGGAAATTAATTATTAATTATTTCGAATAAATTTCGTGTGTTTGTCATTTTTAAAAAGTTTATAATATCGACATATTTATAATATAGTAACATTACATTTAAGACAATACTTGTTCAAGCAGTCAAAATGCATGTTAATAAATGCAATTAATATTTTTTGAAGAAAAGCTATTAAATTAATGCATGAGCCAGCATTATACGGACAAAACTTGATTCAATCAATAATTAACATTTGAATAAAAAATATTAAAAGGACTATAAACCGAAACTGTTATTATCTACTAAATAAAGAGAAATAGATATTGTGAGAGAATATATTATATTTTAAATACCATAGTCCGTTTTTATTCATTAACTGTATATCTTTTACTTAGATTTTTATAAGAAAGAACAAGCAACCTTTTTTGTTCTATTTATATAATACTTTCTAAATAATTACGTGCAAAATACTTATTATTAAACAATTAACAATAAAAATAAGTATTTAAACAAATTGGCATGATTCAATAATAATATAATCAAGTGTTCTACAAAACGTATAATAATCATCACGAATTATCAATCTTACCTATATCTCAATTAATTTGATGAAGCATCGAATCACTTCAAACGCGAATCGCTACACACACCCGACGATCTCGCGGAGCGCACGATCGCGAAAATACGTGGAACGGTTTTACAATGCACCACCGAACTCGTTCGATTTCGGTCCTCGAC